TCACACCGAGCTGTGTCTTTTCAAATACTCTGCTGCTGCAGTCTGCTTCAGCTTTACACAGTGGCCCACRGCATGAAGGTGGCACCACAGCAAGGCCTGGCATGCGTGAAATTATTGTACCTGCTTTCCCTGCATTAATGGGAATCCCGCTGTGTGGCCCAGCCTGCCCACCACTCTCGGTGTGCTCCTTGTGAAGGCGCAGCTGGAAGCTGTACTAAAATCTGTGCCACTGCTGCCTGCCCCTGACCTCTCCATCATGTTCGTGTTCTCCCTTTGCAGGTCTTGCAAAGTTATTTATTTACTGCTTGCAATAGCTTAATATTGCTGGTTTTATAAGGGATTAGGAATGTTGGTGGAAAAGATTAAATCATTCCTCTATCTTCTGAAGGATCTGAAAGCCAATGAGAGAGAGAGATTTAGAATTTAACTCCAGCCCAAACCTTGCTCTGAGTTCACTTCTGCTGGACGGATCTTAGGCTGTGATTTAGAAACAACACTTAACACCAATAACAGCTAATTTCTGCTGTGGTAGTGTCAGCGTGGCTGAGCTGCAGGCAACATCCCTGCRCTCCAGGAATTGCACAGCTGCTGCTGCGGAGCTCAGACTCGGGCCTTGCTCAACAGCCCAGTACAGCTAGCAGAGCCTGGCTCATTATCAAGCAAATTACTACCTTTAGTAAGATAATGAGCTTAAGCCTTCTGCAATGCCGCAGTGCTCCAACAGTGAATCAGATGCTGTAGCTGTTAGGATACATGTTTCTAGCTTTGCCTGTGCTTCCAAACTACTGAACTGCATCCAAAAAAAATCATACAAATCAAATGAATGTTGCTTGGTTTGACTTTTCCACTTACAAGTATCACATTGGCATTGTACTTGCATGCTGTGATAGGCAGCACACAAAGGAGAGCCCACACGGGGTGCTGGGTGGGTGATACAATGTGCCACGATGTGAGTCCTGCTTCAAAAAGCGTTGAGACATTTACCATGTTGTAATGTTAATATAACTGCATCTCCACAAAACTGTACAGGTGTTTGYGCATTGCAGTCACTGTAACCCAGAAGGCCTTTTATCATCCTGTATGTGCATATATATGTACATTAAATATATTTATTTATGTTTATATTTATATTTAATTTATTTTGAATATATATATGGTCAGAATCAGCACTTGCTGCCGTGTTTATGCCTGTGACATTTAATGGCCGTGCTCCTTCGGCTCAGATTACCGCTCTCTATGATCCTGGAGGAGAGTCTGGTTTCTCTCCCGCCGCGCGGTTCCCAGGGGAAATAACTAATGCGCTCGGATGGGCTGCGTCCTGCAGTGTGTGACCGAGGAGCGGCCACTGCGGCTCTCGCTGCACATGACTCTTGTATAAGGAGAAAGGAATGTACCAACAACACCCGGGTTGCCAATAAACTTGGATAATCTTCATTCGCACACTAAGGAAATAATACCCATGTGTCCACATTCATGAACACAAACCTTTCAAGTAACATTTAAACTGTTACTTAATTCTGTAAGCTCTTAAGGAAATACAGAAGCTGAAAYAACACTCCTGTTTTCAAGCTTACAGACTGGATGGCTTCATTGCAAAGCTCCACCACCACATTTACCTGGTGTCTCTTCAATATCACACAGTCATAGGGCACTCTAACACGCAGGYTATTGGCAAAACTCGAACATGGGACCTTTGGCTCTGCACCAGGATCACCACCTGAGCTTAAAGCATGGAAAGGGCAGCAGTGGAGGACGCACAAGGTGCTGTGCCAGTGTGAGGGGAGCCGCAGAGCTACGAAAACAGGAAGAGGGCAGCAAGGGGTTGTGCCCAGATCAGCGTGATGCCTCCAGGATGTCCCTCAGACCTGTTTCGCTTAAGCTTCTTAGTGGGAGTGACAGTTGTCTGCAACCTTCTTACTTATCTATTGCAATTTTTAAAGTGGCATTTTTAGCGTTGAAGGAAGGCAGTTTGGGAGACCAATTTATTTCAATCCATCGCTCTGGCCTTTCTTTATCACTRGGCAAGTTACCCCGTCACCCTGCGCCTCAATATCCCCCCATTTCACTGAAGTGAAACCTCCGAGCCTCGCCGTGCTCCCGAAGCCGCTGCGAGGATTCAGCGTTTCCCCGGGCTCATCCCGGCGCTGTCCCGGCTCCAGGCACGGCCGGGATCCCGAGGGGGCGCCACGAGCGCGTTTCCTGCCCTGCTCGCCGCCCTCGTTACCGAAGCGGCTGCGAAGCCAATGGGGGAGCCGGGGGGCAGGTCCAGCGCGGCGGCGGGGCGCGCGGGGGCGGCTCGCAGCCCTGCCCGGCTGCGC